GGAGGGATTTGGGGAAGGGCACCCCCTGGGCGGGTTTGTCAGCGCTGCCCCGGAGCGATGGCCGGGGGTCGGCTGCTCCCTCTGCCCCATTCCCAGCCCCGCAGCCGGGCCTGCCCCGCAGGCGCCTTTGCCAGTCCCGAATTTGTGATTTTTTTTACTCGGTCTTTTGAGATACCACATGGAAGCCGTTAACGAAGGCTCGATAATGATCATGACAAAGGCATTATTCAAATGAGGCAGGTAATTACAACCAGAAGGCGCCTTCTCCTCTTCCTTTCCCTCCTTTCTCTTTGCAAGAGCAACTCTTCCATTACAGGACCCTGTCGGTGCTTCGCCAAGAACCACCTTCAGCGCCTTGCCCATTAAACCAGATACATTTATGCCGATAAATCACGCCCAAAACGAAACACGGCCGCGCAGCATCTCCTCGGAGCTCACCGGGAGCTCTTGCAACCGATCCGAACTTCAAGTCTTCGTGGCGCTTAAACGTGCGCAGACCCAGCGCTTTGGTCAAATGAACGTTAGGATTTTTCTCCTCCAGTCCCCGCTCATTACGGGGGTGGAGGTTGCTGTGCCTGCTCGCACCCCAAGGTAGATGATCCCAAGGTGCAGATGCATTTTTCCTCGCTTTTTGTTCGCTTGGAGCTGTTGTTTATTCACAAGCACGCCGGTATCCTGTTAGCATTCCGAACAAGGGGCTGCTCACAGGGCTGACTCCGATGATTTCCTGGAGGAACATGTGGAAGCAATAGCGGGGTTGTGCACTCGCCCAGGCTGAGGATGCACTGGTGGCGAACGCGCCATAGGCGAGGAGCACCACTGGGGACCCTGCAAACCTGGCCAGAGGGGCCTCAGCTTGAACACGTTATTTTGTTTTTGCCCCCCACGGGAGGTGGTTCTCGTTTCTGCCCCCAGACCCTTCAGGGGATCTGCACGTAATTCTCCCTCTGTTAGGAAAGAGAAAAACCACTGGATCCTGTTGCTTGACTTCGAGAGCAAACTTTTTGTTTTGTGCAATACTAAACAGGAGGGAGGAGGAAAACAAAACAAAGC